TGTATTTATTTGTTCGGTAAAAGTTGTTTGGGCGATTGTAACCACAACCAGTCTATGATGGCGACACTAGTAAATAGCGGGAAAATTTAAAAATTCTTTAGGAGAAACAGGAGAAATAAAAACTATTGTTTCACTGTATGTTAATAAATTTAAAGGCTTTCAATAACATCAAATTTTTTATCATATAAATAATCATTTTAATAAAGGAAGTTTTAATCAGTTTAATATAAGCAGTGAACATAGTTTTTATTGCTCTTGTAAATTTCGCTAAACAATCTTGAAAATTCTATTGATTTTTAAATATTTAAACTTGGAAAAATAATACACCAAACTTTTTCTATAAATTATATTTTTGTAAGGTACAGAAAAACAAACTACAATTGCTACGTTTAGAAAGTACCTCGTATAATTTTGTGACAAATTACAAAGAAAGTCACAGTTGTTATATATTCATAATATATTTAAAAAATAATGTAACAAATATTTTATAAAGTATAGAGTATATCGATACCTTTGCCAGACTATCATAAGTGCCATTTGAACAAATGTCGTTTACGTTAGTCTGGCAAATAGGTATCGATATGTTATGACTGTTTATTTTAATAGAAACCATGGAAACGAAACAAACACATCCACATACACTCACACAAATGTATAAGGCCCGAGTCGAGTAAGTTCCCATCCTGTAAACTGGATCGAAACCTGCTAGACCCATTCTGTACATTCCCTGCTAATTCCTCTTAGGGTCATATAGATCAATAGATTTATATGCCATGCCTTCTAAACGGGAATGAAGGATGACTTATTATCATCATTTAAACAAGACGTTGCTGAAGGCTTACTCCTGTTATGTTGTCTGTTTGTGTATCTTGTACGTGTGCATTCCTGTTGTGTCTCCAGTCATCTAAAAGTTTTTCTAGTCTCCTAATTTGGTGACTAGGTGAACCTTCTCCAACTAGTCGTCTAATCTATTCGATCTGCTCTGCAACAGGAGGTACTTTTCAAACATAGCAAATAATAATATTAATAATAAACACAGGGGGTGGGTGGCTCAGTGGTAGAGTCTCTGCCTGTGTATCCAAGGGTCCCAGGTTCGAATCCCACCGTTGGCCGGAATTTTTTCATTTAATTTAATTATTTAAAATTAATTCTGATGCCTTGGTAGGATTCCCCACTCGACCATTCACTGTTGGGTTCTAAAGTGGCGCTGGGGAACAGTAACAAAGCCCACACAGAAAACGAGAGAGAGAGAGAAAAAAAAACACTATTTAAAGATGAATACATTTTTGTAATTTTTTTTGTCGTTGTCCCTTACCTGTCTCTTACACCACCAGGGCATACCTATTTTCCATACTCCTTTAATTATAGATTACCTTCCGATGTTTGAATGAATGTAACATTTTACCCATGAAAAATCTAATTTTGAATTTAACTCTTTTTCAATTTCATTTGAAACAATTGGAATATTACAATTTATTATCAAGGAAATCTTCTAATAAAGTTATAGCAGATCCTACTCAAACTACTGGTTGTTCTGAAGAATAAATTAACTTTTCTTGAGATTGATCTCTCTCTAAAATCCAAAACCGACCTGATGTCCCCAAATTTATTTTCCAATGCATCCTGATTTAAAATTCTGCCCTTTTGTGATTCAATTTTTTTTATTCGTTTAAATGACTCTACAATCTTCTAATAGCCACTAGAGTGGTTAAATAGCGAATCCACAATTTTCCGAAAGTTTTCCAATGCAAACAAAATAAACCAACAATTTATATCACGCAAGTCGTTCCTGTAAATAGATTCATTTACAGTAAATATTTCAATCTTCGTTTGTACATAACCGTGATATTTTTAAGGTTAAACAATGCCAACATAAGTTTGTCTACGCCTTGATATAACGATCAACATGTCAATTTTTTATCTCTCTACAGACAAAGAAATTCGTAATAGTCTTAAACGTACAATCATTACTTTAGCCAATCAGAATGATTCCGATATTTCCGATACAAACTAAGCTGGTTAAAAGATTCTTTCACTGGCATTGTAAATTAATGTCTTGACCTGCAGTGAGATTCTCATGTTACAATACAGCATATATGTCGATACGTCTGTCTTCGTTCGACAGACTGCGATTCTAATGTACAGTTCATCAAATTTCTAGAGGCTTTCGACGGCTAGACAGAGAAAGCACTACTGACAGGCATCCCGACGGATTTACGCAATGAAAGTACACTCTGCGCATCAAGTATTTCACTATTTCATTCAGACGTAAATGTCAGATGTAAATTTCGCTAAAACATTTCTTTTATTTTCGTTTGTGTTTTTTGCTCATTACAGTTTAATAGAACCTAAGTATGGAGTTTAATAGCAAATTAAGAGGCCGCGTGAGTAACAGTCAATCTCGCGAAATAATAGCCAATGTTATAGAGTTTATGAGAAGAGAAGGAAACTTTAATTCACCTTCAATACCATTTAAAATGGAAATGATCGTGTTGCTGCAGCCACAGGAGTATTTAAAAACACTGTCGTCCGCATTTCTGGAGAGAAAAAAAGAATCGATAACCGTGAGATATCGGAATTTTCATCACCAAGAAAAACCATTAAAAAACCAAAAACAGTTAATGATATAGATGAAGCTGCACAAGAATCAAATTTTATTTTTTTATTATTAGATAGCTATTTTTGTTTCTGAGTTGTGTTCATTTACAGGCTCAATTTTTTTCTGTTTCTCCTTTTTGATTTTATATGGGGTTTCAAGTTGTTTTTGACTTATTTCGACGTAAATCACAACACACTTTTTTAATAAAGCAAACATGTGTTAAGAGGTATATGTACGTGTAAACTACAATTACAAAAAATTAATATGAAACCCATGAAACCACCAACAAAAATGTAAAGCTAGCTTCCGTACTAGAACATGGTGTCATTCGTCGAGATAATTTATCGTTTTGTTTAATAGATCAAGAAATGTAAATATTTCCCTGTTATTTTTTATAAAATTATAAGAGAAATAAATTTTTTTCTAAATAGTATAGTTTATTATTTTGTAGAAAAACAAAATTTCGAAAATTTTAGTAATGTTTCAGAAACAACCGTTATTAATAATAGGTACCATTTTACTTAATAAGGTAGAAATAAAATATAAACTATTTCCACGATTTACAAAGGCCTACAAAAAAATTATAGGTATTTTCCGCTATCCTATAAAATTTATATTTTCCGACTCAATTTCAAAAGGTTGAAGGAATTCCAAAACACCTTTTATGGCATAATAATTATTTTCAATTCTACATACTATCTTTAGCTGCTTTTAAAAACGTTCTAAGAAAGTCCAATCAGACCAATTTAATCCCTAAACTAATCCACACTTTTAAAATTTAATTACCTAAAAATATTAAAAACTATTTAAAATAACTTGTTTAGCAGACTGTAAAATAGCTATCTTAGTCACACGTAGCGCGTTCTCTGTCTGGGCGTCGAACACCTCTAGAAATTTGATGAACTGTAATGTCAAAAAATTTATCTACTTATCTAAAATGCCAGGACCATATTTTATTTTCACATGCGATAACCGGCTGCAATACTAGTTAGCAATGTTCAGAAGGGGTAAAATATCAGTATTAAAATTATTTGAAACAATGGATTTGAAGAAATTGACTCTTCTCCTCAAACAATAATCATAAAAGGAATTCGCTTTCTCCTTGCTGTTTATGAAGCCCCAAAGAAAATTGATTGAATAGACAAGTATAGATATTTAACTTTTGTAAAAAATACACGGAACAAGAAACAAGTACAACTATCTTGTCTTCCTCCAACATCAGCTTCTGCTCATCAACACTTGTATCGATCATTCTATCAAGTTCAAACATGGGTAGTCAATCAACTAAATCCCCAAGACTGGGGTTGGAAATTAATAGACAATATTTTGGAACCGATTTAAACAATCCTCCCACCTGCTCCGGAAAAACTTCTAAACACTACTTTTTGCAATTGTTTGTAGTGCTAAATGTGGCTATAGAAGAGTAGGGTTGTTGTGTTTACCAGCGTGTACTAATTACCAAGGCCAGTTTTGCGCGAATGTTATAGACGAAGATTCGTGTGATATCGATGAAGAGACTGCTGATTCATCTTTAGTTAAACAATTTATAAACATCCAGCAAGAAGAAGAGAAAAAAGAAGAACAAGAAATCGAAGAAGACATGACTGTTGAAGTAGAATTTGAAGAGTATGAATCAGATTAAAATATTAACATAAATTAGAACTACAGTTTAAAATATCAATATCATGCAGTAAATATAGTATTTTCCCATAAAACTCTAGTCATAACAGATCGTAGAATAGGCCTACCGGGGAAACCACGTTAAAAAAAGCGCCAAGTACACTACTTCATAGGTGGTGTGGAAATGTGTGCATATCATGTAGAATGTAACTCCGTCAACTTTTAAAATGACGATATCTTAAGAATGGTCAGTATTAGGAAAAAAAGTTAATTTTTGTTGATAATTTTATGATCTACAATTTTTGTATGAGCTATATTTTTGATAAAACTTACCGTTTTCGAGAAAAATCTAAAAAAAACCGAAAATGTTGACTTTGACTTTGAATAACTTTTTTAGCACTCATGGGATCAATGGGATACTTTTGGCACCTTATTTCTACTGGTGTACCCAAGGTCTCTACGAAAATTTAGCTCTGTCGGAATTTTTGTTATTTGAAATGTCTATATTGACCGGATGAAACGAATAATTGTAAATATCAGTACATAGTATGTGATCAGTAAATATATCATATTTTATTTTTTTGTCATGTTTCATTCTCAAGACAGGTAAAGCTAAATAATATCCACGAAGGGAATGATATCTCAACAAGTCGAAGTGAGATTATAACATTATGTTCTTTCCAAGATAAAATTAATGCAACGCTCTTTTAACGATTTTAAAGTAAATATGTACCAGTCGAATTTACATAAAACGAAATTTACTTTCATGTTCTTTTTCCAGATAAAATTCCTGAAGTCCAAAGAAGGCACTGCCATGGTTCAAATGGGAGATAGCGTAGCAGTGGAAAGATGCGTTCAGAACTTAAACAACGTTACCGTTGGTATAACTGGAGCAATTCCCCTGACGCATCGCTCTAATTCCAGCGGGGACGCCATGCAGCAGGACGAGGATCCGCCTCGAGAACATAAGCTGCAGTTAGCGTTCAGCAAACAACCATATCTAAGCGAAGTCACAAACCCTTACCCCCTACCCGACAAATCGCCGTCGTACAAATTGTATATTAATAACAAAAATAATCGGTTCATGAATCCCGCCATGGCTAGCAAAAATAGGATACAACCACCCAGCAAGGTAAATGTTTACACAATCAATTATTAAGATACACTAATCAAAACTGGATTAATTACAGAACTTAAATAATATACTTGTTAATAAAGAGTAAGATCCCAGAGCGATAAGACATAATTTATTTTCTCAAAGATGAAACCTAAAATGTAGCGTCTCATGTGCTTTGAATACCTGCGTTCTTGCGAAGCTTGCCCTGTGACACCTGGGCAGGTACCAGGTGTGAAAGCTAAAAATAAGAGTTACTTTACTTCAATTTGTATGGCTGATTTTTAGATATATTTTATAAAATATTATTCTCAAGTAGTATCTCAAGTGTCAGACACTTTCCATGAACCAAAACTTTTGTTAGACGCTTGAAAGCTCCACAAAAAATAAATGAACTTTACTTATTTTTAAATGTCTGACTTTTAAATGTCTGACTTTTAAATAAGTTATCAAGATAACTATTACAAACTTATATTTAATAAGCTACAAAAATAATAAAAAAGAAAAAATGTTTTTCCATGTTATTTAAATGGAAAATGGAAATGTTAATAATAAGAGCTCAAATTTTTAGAGCCTTCTTTTTTCACCTTCCTGATAGTTTTTAGCCTGTTTTTTAGTTGAAAAAAAAGGTTACTCAAAAATGACACACCCTAGCATTTATCTTTTTGAGCGAAGATTTGATTTCGAAATGACTCTGAAAAAAATCTGAATAAAAATGGGGGGATAAGGGAGTTTGAAATATTGAAAAAATACCTAACTCAGAAACGAAAAATGATTTGAAATTTTTAGCAAAAAACAAGCTCTGTAATGGAACAAAGCCTATTGCTTTTGAAGAAATCTGATTAAATGGGTGAGGTTGAGGGGGTTGGATTTAAAAAAAACTTCACTAATTTACCTAACCTGTACTGCCTGGAGCCATCGTGAGTTGTTCGCAGAAAATAATATACACAAAATGAGAAAAATTTAAAAAAATGTTAAATAATTTATGTAAACTATCCGGCCTGGATACATCGTGGGTAGCTTCAATTTCAAACTGCTTTAGTTTCGAAGTTTTGTCATTCGAATTTTTGATTTACGAAGTTTTGTCGTTCGAATTATTGTTTTCGAAATTTTGTCATTCGAAATTTTCTAATTTAAAATTTTGTCACTTGATCTTATTTCACCAAATCGTAATAAACGGTTTTCTTTCTCTGAAGTAGCCTTTCATGACACCTATATTCTTCGAATATTTAATTGTTACTGCATAATGTGAAATATTAAACAATTTGACAAAAGTGGCAACGAATTATTGCATATATCACTGACTTTTTCAAAACTGTAACAGTTGTCGATGTTAATTCACTAACCTGGAATTAGTGTAGAAACCTTGACTTGTACGCAATTTTTCTCATTTCGATGAGCGCGAAATAAACATTTGAAACATTTACAATTTTATTTAAATTCCTCTTCAGATTCCACTGCGATAAAGTTTGCTTATTTCCGCAATAGACAATTTGCTATTTTTAGAATAAATAGTAGGTACACGAGTTTCCGACCTACATCAATATAAATTTCTAACAATAACAAAAATCAACCGAACGATGCTCTGTCTACGAAATATCAATTCTACACGAAAGGTTTTTATCATAAATAACTTATATAACTGAAATGTATCTATTGTGATTCGATTTCAAGATATTGAATGATTGGAAATAATACCGATGGTTTAGCCGATGGTATTTTATTTCATCTTATACTGGCTTATTTCTCGGATGCTAAAAAGAAGATAAAAGAAATAATTTGAAACTATCGAAGATAATAAATGACTTTTAAAAATGTTCTTATCGGTTTATTAAGTGGAAACATAACTTTATGTTTATAATTAATGGCACAAATAAAATTTAACCAAAGAAAGAAGTGGTTCGTTTTTTATTTTCAGTAGTTTGTAATCGTTCTGTTATTTCTCTATGATTACTATTGTAAATTCGAATTGTTGTACAATTTCTAAGCAAAGTATATTGTTTTTTTTAATTTTTCCTTATTTGATTGACTCATTTGTGTCAATCTTAATTATGATTTCATTTATTCATTTTATCAGTCTTGATGATTCACTAGAATTGTCTTGCATTTTTCCTTTTCAAAGAAAAACGCCATTAATGATTTGAATCTTTTCATTTTGAAATATTTTAATTAATATTGAAGCCAAAATGTTCATATTTTCACTAATATTTCTTTTTTATAGCCGGTTTACCTGAAAATAGTGTTACTTGCGGCTCTTGAGTTTAATAATTTGAAAATTCTAGAGACGCTAAAATGGTGGTTCACACTTTATCGAGACTGAGGCCCACAAGGGTAAACTCGTAGCGTAACAAAAACGAGAAATGATTTAACTTGGAACGAAAGACCGAAAGCCGATAGTAGTCTTAGGACGTTGAATTTTTTTGGTTTGTGAAGCATTGGCATTAATTTGGTAAAACCATGTGATGATTTTCACAAGCCTTGATTTTTAAAACCATTCTATATCGCCTTTTGATTAGGGTTTACAAACTTGTTTGAGCAATTTATCCAATAATTGGCCCCTTTACCTCTTAAGCCTGCTCATGTAAAATATTTGGGCTCCTTACTTTGCCTATTTATATAATATTCATAAAGGACAGAAGGATAAGTATTGCAACTATGTTAAAAGAAATAAATTGGCTTTCAGTTCAGAATTATGTTCAGTACATGACTGACATTTATTTATAAAATAAAAAAGACAGTACCATCGCATCAGATCTATTAGAAAAAATTCAATATAATTCGCAATATCACAACTATAATACAAGAAGCCAATCTGACTTTCATGTACGGCAAGCCATCACGGAAGTTCCCAAAATACAATTTTTATTAAAGGTTTAAAAAATTTAATAGACTGCCTACAGAAATTAAAAAAAAACAACAATAAATGTATTCAAAAGTAACCTCAAACAATACTTGATAAATAAACAGAACGGACATACTTTCTTGTGATAATACTTTTTAAACCTGCCCTTTTTAAGTATTTCCCTTAATTTGTTGTTATTTTTCCCCTCGTTTTCCGCATTTATTATAAATTATTTCTGTTTTGAGATCATGTATTTTATTTAAAAAAATTATTTGATGTTATATTAATACTACTTACTATGTTTAAATTATTAATAGTTTTGCGACGATAGGTTATAGCAACGTATAGCCACAAAACTATTTTTGTGGTAAAGTAGATCCATAGAGCAATGTAATTTACAAAGGCCTGCTTTCAACATACAAATAAATGATAACTTTATAATTAAAATAAAAAACAACAAAATACCTCGGTACCAAGGTAAGAAGATTCATTTTTAATTTTTATTTATTGAGGAAATTATGACTAGAATATGTAATCTAAAATCGTATAATAAAAATTTTCTACAAAAAACCAGCATTTTATACAATAAAAAAGTGCTTTGTATAAGAACATTATATTATTTGTCTTGCTGTACCTTTATTTATGGAAAGTCTGAATTGAGATACACTACAAATTATTTTATTTATCAAAAGATGTATACATTTTTAAATAATTTGACATTTGAGAGCCATTCACACATCACAGTTGACATCTTGATACTTGACAGGTAGAGCCAAGCATTATTCTGATTTTGCTAAATAAAATGGCCGGTTAATTCTATGGAATTGCGACAGAGAGTCAGTAAATTTGATGAAGGTGTTTTTGTCATAAAAATCACCATAAAAAAAGTAATTTTTAAGAAACTGCTTAAATTGGCAGGCTTGGTGACTAATTTCGAATAAAAATAGCCTCCAAAATGGTTGCAAGTATGAAGGTCGTAACCCGCCTTAGAAATTTCACCTTTACTATCAACAGCTGTTGTTTGACAGGTCGTTAGAGAATGTTTGCAATTTATGGAATGTGAAGAATGTTAGGAATTTTGACGTTAGAAATAATTGGAATTCCTAAAATTGTCACATTAGAAATGCATAGGCATATTTTAAGAAAATTGATATTAAAGTAGTTAGAATGAACCGAAAATTCTGAAAATCAATAGGGTTCTAAGTTAGAAGTAATTATTTAATAAAATCAAAACCGCAAATTTAGAGTTATCGTGCCTGCATACATACACACAGACGACCAGACGAAAAATTTTTTTTTGCATTTTCGGACTCAGAATGATCGGAAACATGAACAAAGTTTTAAAAAATGGCTGTAAGAAAATGTATTCGTCTGCACGAATGCAATACTGAGGCCCCATAGGAAGGGCCTCAGTAATTTGGTAAGGGAAAAAAGTCGCATGTGAAGAAATTTGGACATATGTATGTATTTTTAAATATACGCGATAAGATATATTATTGAAAATAAAATGGAGTATTATCGAAAAACGCCTCTTGTAATCTCTTAGCTTATATTGATATTATTGAGTGGATCACATATAGTATTTTAGCCCTAGAAAAAATATGAAAAAATATGAAATATTTGAAATTTCGAAATAAATTTTTGAAAATTATCCCTACGAAATACTGAAAGTTATTTTTGAACCCTCAAAATTAAAACCTTGATTGAAAAATTGATAAAACTCTGTTCGGGTCTGGGATTCGAATACACCTACCGAATCCATCGCCTTCACCATCTCGGCCTATCAGTGTACCCGGATACAAAATAGTTAAATATAAGATTCGAATCTAACTTCGTGACAGAATGTTTTCTACTCGCCTCGTCTTGGGAAACATGCCAATATCGGTTATAGATCTGAAAACAAATGTGTCCCTACGAAATACTAAAATTTATTTCTTCTCCTATTCGTGTTGTACCGCCTTTACTATCTCGACTCTCAGGACATTAGATGACCGGATTTCTTTAAATTAAATATAAGAAGTTCGAATCATATTCGAGTTTTATATTTGAATCATATTCGAAACTTATATTCAAATTTTAAAACCGAATCTCATATTTGAATCTTATTTTCGAATCTTATATTTAAATCTTATTATATTCGAATCTTACATTCGAGTCTTACATTCGAATCTTATATTCGAATCTTATCTTATATTCGAATCTTATATTTGAATCTTATATTCGAATCTTATACTCGAATCTTATATTCGAATCTTATACTCGAATCTTATATTCGAATCTTATATTCGAATTATATATTCAAATCTTTCTTATATTGGAATCTTCTATTCGAATCTTTTATTCGAATGTTTTATTCAAATCTTATATTTAATATTATGTTCAAATCTTATATTCGAATCATATTCGAATTCTATATTCGAATCGCTAATTCGAAACTTTAATTCGAATCTTTAATTCGAATCTTTAATTCGAATCTTTAATTCGAATCTTTAATTCGAATCTTTAATTCGAATCTTTAATTCGAATCTTTAATTCGAATCTTTAATTCGAATCTTTAATTCGAATCTTTAATTCGAATCTTTAATTCGAATCTTTAATTCGAATCTTTAATTCGAATCTTTAATTCGAATCTTTAATTCGAATCTTTAATTCGAATCTTTAATGCGAATCTTTAGTTCGAATCATTAATTCGAATCTTTAATTCGAATCTTTAATGCGAATCTTTAGTTCGAATCTTTAGTTCGAATCATTATTTCGAATCTTTAATTCGAATCTTTAATGCGAATCTTTAGTTCGAATCATTAATTCGAATCTTTAATTCGAATCTTTAATTCGAATCTTTAATTCGAATCTTTAATGCGAATCTTTAGTTCGAATCTTTAGTTCGAATCATTAATTCGAATCTTTAATTCGAATCTTTAATTCGAATCTTTAATTCGAATCTTTAATTCGAATCTTTAATTCGAATCTTTAATTCGAATCTTTAATTCGAATCTTTAATTCGAATCTTTAATTCGAATCTTTAATTCGAATCTTTAATTCGAATCTTTAATTCGAATCTTTAATTCGAATCTTTAATTCGAATCTTTAATTCGAATCTTTAATTCGAATCTTTAATTCGAATCTTTAATTCGAATCTTTAATTCGAATCTTTAATTCGAATCTTTAATTCGAATCTTTAATTCGAATCTTTAATTCGAATCTTATGTTTGAATCTCTGACATTCATTTTAACAATTCGAAATTCGGACATGTAATGTTCGGATAACCGAGTTGATATAAAAGATGTACGCAAAACATTAATAAGTTGATTTGAATCCCAGCCCGGACATAGTTTTTTTTTTATTTTTCAATAAATGTGTTTTCACTTTGGGGTTCAAAAATAATTTTAATATCTTCTATTTGTTTACGCATTAGCCGATATAGTTTACAGATTTTTAAAACTGATTTTTCATTAAAAATATGGATTTAAAATATTAAATAGATATAGTACTGCATTTTGACTAAAAATACACGTCTCTTTTTCTTATCACGGCAGAGTAGATGTTCTTTTTTTGTCTACAACCAAGAAAATTAATGGCTACATAAATAAGTAGAGCTATTTAAATCATCAATTTCAATATTTTTTAGATCCTGCACTTTTTCAATACTCCTCCACAAGTGACAGAAGAAGAACTGTTCCAAGTCTTCACCGATTACGATGTCGTACCTCCAAAAGCTGTGAAATTGTTCCCAATGAAGTCCGAGCGATCTAGTTCAGGATTGTTGGAGTTCGAAAACACAACGGAAGCGGTGGCTGCCGTTATGGCATGTAATCACGCGGCCATCGAAAGTCCAGGTATACTAAATTACACAAATTATTCAAATTGTGCTGCTGTTAAGTATATTTATAATATGTTGTGGCATTTCGAATAGTTGCAACTGACCTACAAACTTGTTCAATTCCTAGGAGCTACATTATATTTCCATTCGTTTTCAAGGAAACTATATTGTCTTCACTTTTTATTAGAATAGAAAGTGTTAGATCTAATATTTGTCATTATATTCTTATGTCATTCGCTAATGTTTGAATCTTTCGATTCTGTTGGGTTACACTTGAATGTCTTCAAGACACCCTACACGTTTTACCACAATTTTAACTCTAGAATCGTATTTCCGTTGCATATGTGGTTGACAGACTTAGTAATTGCTCACTAAAAAGTGAGTAAGTTTGTGTTTAAGAACTGTCAAAATGTAACAAGAATTGGTAGTATTACAATTCTCAGTCACCTCCCGCTTGGATCGTTGACAAGTTAGATCTGACTGTGGTTTAACATTCTAGCATGTGTGGTAAATGATATGATTAATATATAAATATAAGACTCGAAACCGATTGTCAAGGTCTATGGCCTGGTTAGTTTCTTCCATTCGTCCCTATTCTTTGCTTTTTCTTTCCAGTTGATAATCTTTTTTTTTTCTTAATATCTTCTATGATCGATTCCTTCCATTTCCTTCTAGGCCTTCCTCTATTTTTTTCTATCTTTTTGTCCCCATATATTCTTCTTAGTATCTTTTGTTCCCATATTTCAATCTTTGTCTGTTCTTTCTTATTTAGTGTCCATGTCTCACTGCCGTATAGCATTGTAGGTCTGATTATTGTTTTGTACACACATTTCTTTATTTCCCATGACAATTCTTTTAGTAAATTATGTAAAGCTCCTGCGTATCTATTGCTCTTTGCTAGACGGAGATCTATTTCAGCTTGTTCTTCGCATCTATTTGTAACGATAACACCGAGGTACATATAACTGTCTGTCTATTGTTATTTTTCTTATGGTTTTAGTTTGTAATTCTAGCTTTCCAGGATTTTTTCTTAAATGTTTGTTTTTGAGTTGCATGTACTGACTCTTCTTTTAATTTTTTCTTAGCCCCATTGTTCCTGCCGCGTCTAATAACTGTTCTGTTATGTTTTTAAGTTCCTTTTGGCTTCTCACTAACAGTACATCATCTGCGTATGCTAATTCTTGGTGGGATCTGTTGATCAGGGTTCCATATCCGTTTATTCCACTGTTTCTGATGACTATTTCAAGGGTTAAGTTAAAAAGAAGGGCGGATAATGGGTCTCTCTGCCTAAGCCCGTTTTGGACTTCTAAATCTTCGGTTTCCTCACCTCCTACTCTTATTGCACACCTTGTATTTTCCAGGATCATGTTCGTCAGTTTTACAAGTTCAAGAGGTATTTTTAGTTCTTTCAAAGCATTACCCATTTTCGTCGATTTACTGTATCATATGCGCTTTTAAAATCAATAAACATAATATGGGTAGGTATTTCGTATTCGTAGCAACATGTTTTAAAATAAAGATTTGGTCAGTTGTTGACCTGTCTTTTCTAAAGCCGCATTGGTATTCTCCGATATTTTTTTCTCCTACTTCTAATCTTTTTATTAACGAGGCTAGTACCTTATATGTAACGTCCAGCAAAGCTATACCTCGGTAGTTTCCACAGTCTGCTTGGTCTCCTTTCTTATATATTAGCAGTATGCCTGCTTTCCTCCAATTTAGTGGCATTTCTTCCGCTTTCCATATTTCTTTGATTAGTTGTATTATTTCTGTTATTAGTTGTGTCCTCCATATTTTAGGTTCTCTGCGGTAATTTTGTTTGATCCAGGGTTTATTATTCTTCATATTTAAAATAATTTCTATTATCTCTAATTCTGTGGGTTCCTCAGCGGTGTACATAGGGTTTTCATTTGCTTGATGTAAATATTTTTTGGCGAGTGTTGTTTTTTGTATACCTTTTACATCTTTATAGAAATTTTATATTTAATTTTTTTCCGCGACTTTTTTTCTTGGTGACGCCTTTTCTTATTTCTGCACATTTTTTTAACAGCCTTTCTTTGTTCTATATATTTTTTCCGTCTGTATCGCTCCCTGTTTGTAGATATTTTTCTCTCAGTTTGTTTTTTAATTTCTTCATCACATTCGTTATCTAACCATTCCTTTCTTTTCTGCGTTTATTCTTATTAATATTTTTCTCAGTTGATGTTTTTATGGCATTCTCTATGTTATTCCATTTCTTCTCTACTATGTTGGCCATGTTTAAAACTGGTGTATTGTCTAGACTTCTTTCTATATCTCCTTGATACCTCGTTTGCTTGTAATTCTTCTATGTTATATTTTGTGTTTATATTTCTATAGATGTTTTGTTTTACTAGAAAATGATCGAAGTTTCTATCTGCCCCTCTGTATGAATGATATCTGAATGATATCTGAATGATATCTGAATGATATCTGAATGACACCCACTAAAAAAAACATTCCTTTACTGGTTGCAGCCGCAGCTGGAACCATTTGTTATTACATCAGCAGTCACTATCTTTAGCCTTAAACTCTTTGCTAACGCTCCTCCTTTTCCTTGTTACTTGATTTCCTTTATTATGTCATATATTAGCACCTAGTTTTCCTCGGACCCACACATAATCAGGGATAGGGTTTTTCTATTCAGTACACCCATCTTTTCTGTCAGCCCCCCCTAGTATATTCCCAACTTCCGCATGAAAATAGGGTATGTTCAGCCGTAACCAACTCCCTGCAATAGGTGCAGCCATCATTTACAGTCTTCCTTACTTTCCTTACTTTTTTTGAAAGGAACCGTGGCCGCCCAAGACCTGAGTTACTTTTACCAATACTTTTTTCTATGTCGGCAGCCTATTTAGCTATTTACATCCAGGATTAACTGCTTGGTCCACAAGCCTACTCTTTCGTTTTCTACACACCTTTCTTGACATTTTCTCATATTTGTCTCCCTTGCTTCCCTTCTCCTCTCGATTATCGTTTCCGCCATTATATTTGTTCTCTTCCTTTCTCCTACGTGGATGTCGAACCATGTAGTCCTGGATACGCATCAGTGTGATACCATTGGGAGTCTGAAGGGTGAAAATATATACAGTACGTAAACCGACTCATCAAGTAAAATAAAGATGAGACTCTTAGTTGTATTTGGACGTGAGAGGACTGTAGTGAGTTGATGTCGATTTCTTTTTATCTTCGTCATGAACATAACGGTTTCTTCCTTATACAGAGAGGCCAGGTGGACAGTATATTTGTAGAACTTGTACAATATATGATTTTATTGATAAACTGCTTAATAACTTGTTTTGGAATGATGACATTAAATTAATTACTTCTGCTTATTTGTTTATTTAACACTATAAATTTTGCATTGTACCTCATAACATGGACGACGATTTCTTATTATAATAAGAAATCGTAGTTCATGACGTCACGAACGGTACGCTCACTGAACGAATATCTCGAAAATTGACTTCCTGCTTCCTTCTAAAGCGGATTAGGGACATATAGAATATAATAGAATAGACAGTTTGACGTTTGTTGCATACCTCTTTCTCATGTGTAGATGTTTCCTACTCCATTCACGGATCTGATAAGAGGTGTTCATAAAAGGGTTGGGTACAAACGCCTTCAAATCAGTTAGCCTTTGGGCATCTCCTTTAGTACATGAGTATACCGTGTTTAGATGCTTAAGATAGGATAGAGAAAGAACCGAGTTAGCTCTAAAATATGGAAGAAACCTGATTAGGGACAACATTGCAGCCTTAATGTTCAAAACGAGAGAGGATTGGATGGCAGTAAATTTTCTATTTCGGTAAAGTTATGAAAAGGATTGGAAGTTTAACAACGATTTCGGGACATCGGCGGTAAAGGGGAAGTTTTAGTGGGTAGCGCGTAGGGACAAGTCCCAATGCATTTCTACATAAAAATTTTTTCTTTATCTAATGTCCAGCTTGAGATAATTCCTTTGGAATTGCTAATTGGTGAATTTATTGAGCAATACATTGGTTATTAGTCCACTGGAATTAGACAAAAAATCACCCTGAGCAAATATTGTATGTAAAACGTTACGAAATGCCGTTTTATATAACTCGTTCATGTTTCGGGACCTCGCTCTGCTTGTCTCGCAAATATTCACTCGTTACATAAAATATGGCATTTCGTAACTGGTTGCATAATATCTATTTATGAAACCAGTGGCGAAATGACTTGATTTTAAAACTATAAAAGGTGTATTTTTATTTTTTTTCGCAACTGATAATATAATGAATTTTCCGAAACCAATTTTATAATGTTCAACATTATGCAACTGGTTGCGTAAAATATATTGTTAAAAAATTTGTTAAAAAGTAATCAACCTGTATATAAGAGTTGCTTTGGTAACTGTCATAACGATTATTATTTTTTTTGTGATAGCAGTATTATGTAAAAAAACACACCAACACCAAAAAAGAAAGCAGTAGTTGCCCTAAACTCCCCACAACTCACTAGTTGTATCTCAAATTGTATGCTGGCCAGCGGATAAATTGATTTACCACAACCAGTCACAGCTTCAATAAAATCTAAGTTGGCACCCCAAATCACAATTGAAAAGAAACTTTATACATTTCCTTCCGTTGTGATTCATGGTCCTTCGAGCCGGATCTATTAAGCAGGGTCCACTTAAAGAAGAAAGACAGTATCCTCTAAAATAAGAAACAGATCCAGATTCCCACTAGTCGCAGTTCTCTATAAAAATCTCAAGCAGTGTTCACTTAAGAAAGCTAATTTTCAATTATATCCACATTTGAAGATCATAGGTTGAGGGTAAAGTAAATCATAAATATGGAAAACTTAGTCAAACAAAGGGCAACTTGCAAAGCTCAGATTACACGCACTATCAATTGGTATCATGAAAATAAAGATTCATTAATTAGCAAAAATCAAATATTGAACAGAATTGACTTAGTCTCATCATATTTATCAAAATATAATGACATTCAAGATCAAATTGTAATTAAGTATAGTGACAAAGATTCAGAAGATCGTGAATCTTTTGAAATTAACTGTTTAGACATTAAAAGTACATTGCAAGATTGCTTAGATTCAATTACTTTCTCAAATACTCCAAATTCATCTGTCAATAATAGAAATATTCGTTTACCAAATATAAATTTACCCATTTTTTCTGGAAATGTATTGAATATCCCTCATTTATAGATTTGTTTACAGCCTTAATAATTAATAATAGTCAACTAACTTCAAAATCAGAGAAGTTTTTTTATTTAGTCATATTTAAGATGTTTAAGTGTTATGATCTATTAGGATTGGTTAATCCCGTCAAAGTACAGGTTAAGTTGTTAATGCAAAAACTTTGGTTTGCAAAACATCCTTGGGACTTACCTATTTCAGACTGTTATGTAATAAACGAATGGACTGCTTATATTAAAAACATTTCTAAACTCTTATCGTTTCATATTCCCAGGTGTTTAGTTTTCAAAAAGAATATTTGTAAATTGCAACTTCATGGTTTTTAGGACGCTAGTTCCTTAGCATACGGATGCTGCGTATACTTAAGAGCTCTTTATGAAGATCGCACTGCTTCTTCATTTCTTATTAGATCTAAATCTAGAGTTGCTCCCACTAAAAAAGTTTTGACTATTCCAAAATTGGACTTATTTTCCATGGTACTTTTAGCACAATTAATATCCAGATTAGAAAGTATATTTAAAGATCATCTTGTTACATCTGAAACGGTATTATGGTCAGATTCTCAGGTAGCTTTGTCATGGATTAAAGGGCCTCCCTCCAAATGGGCTGTATTTGTTTCAAATAGAGTTTCTACAATTCAAAAACTTACTAACAAAGTTTCTTGGAGGCACATCACTTCTCAGTTACACCCCGCCGACTTATTGTCTAGAGGAAAACTTCCATTAAATCACTTGGATTTTTGGATTCATGGTCTGTTGTTTTTACTAGATTATAACGCAGACTTATTGTGTTACGATTCATTCTCGCAAGTTTCTCATCCACCTGAAGAAAGAAAACACAGTCATATCAATACACAAATGCCAGAAAATTGACAAGGGGGGTAGCCATGTGTGAGTTGAGGTAATTTTAAGGTGAAGGGGGAGAAAAAGTCCTTTATATCTCACAAGGAAAGTCAATCTTTAATTATTTAACAAAACATTGAGTGCGACCGGTTTCGAAGTGTCATCACTTCATCTTCAGGCTCGCCATACTCTCCATCCACTAGGGAATACTACAAAACAAGTTTCATCCAATGTGGGGTGAAATAAATTGTAAAATGAACAAAGTTTACAAGTAATAAAAAGTTAAAAATATTTGAAAAAACATAAAAACATAAAAGATAAGGCTTATCTTTTAATCTGTTTAATGTATGTGATTTGTTTTGTATGGTCTTGAATATTTTAAATTTTACTATTTCAAATGACTAATATTTGTTTTTTCAAATATTTTTAACTTTTTATTACTTGTAAACTTTGTTCATTTTACAATTTATTTCACCCCACATTGGATGAAACTTGTTTTGTAGTATTCCCTGGTGGATGGAGAGTATGGCGAGCCTGAAGATGAAGTGATGACACTTCGAAACCGGTCGCACTCAATGTTTTGTTAAATAATTAAACATTGACTTTCCTTGTGAGATATAAAGGACTTTTTCTCCCCCTTCACCTTAAAAATGCCAGAAAATATTTGGCTCACATTTTTATCGAAGTTTTCATCTCTGAGTAGATTAAAAAGATCTTTTGCCTATATTTTTAGGTTCATTTACAATGGGGTCTATTCTGTAAAAATTCCTTTATATTTAACGGCCTTTAAAAATATTTTCTTCTTTACTTCTGTCATTATTTAAACGGATCTTTAAAATACATTAGAGGACTATCTTAAAGAAATCTGTTTAAATAATGACAGATGTAAATTAACGAATACGAAAATATTTTTAAGGCCACCAATATTTTTAAAGGCCACCAATATTTTTAAAGGCCGTTAAATATAAAGGAATTGTTACAGAATAGACCCCAATGTTCGTAATAAAATAAAAATGTATGAACCTCTTACTCCCACAGAACTAAATACACTCACATTTGCTGTAAAACAAATTCAACAAACATATTGCACCCCCTTTTTAGATAAAAATGATATTTTACGAGTAGGAGGCAGATTATCCTATTCAGATCTAAACTTTGATCAAAAACACCCCATTCTTTTTCCTTCTAATAGCCGTTTTACTTCCTTGGTGTTGCAAAAGGAACTCCGAAGGTTAGGACATAGTGGTCCTCAAAATGTGCTAGCCAATGTTAGCCTTCAGTTTTGGCCCATTGACGGACTCCGCGAAATCAAAAGAATAATAAATAAATGTATTATATGTCATAGATTCAAAGCTATAACTGCCCAACAACTTATGGCTGACCTTCTCAAGACTTGTGTATCCCCTTTTCGACCGTTCCAAACTGTCGGCATAGACTTCGGAGGACCCTTTATGATTAAATCATCTTGTCTTAAGTAGGCCCCCATTACTAAGTGTTATATAGCCCTTTTTGTGTGTTTTTCCTCCAAAGCTACAGATTTGGAACTGGTGTCAGACTTGACTACCGAGAATTTATAGCTGCCCTTAAACGGTTTACCTCACGAAGAGGAGTTCCATCGGTTATATATAACGATAACGCAACCAATTTCGTAAACCAGCTAAAAGAGTTATCACAGTTTCTTATAGAAAAATTTTCTTCTGTATATGATTATTTACTAACTTCTTCCATTGACTCGCTTACATAAAGTGCTTAGTAAATTCACCTTTATCTTTGAACAAACCCAGATTGAGGCCATACTGAACTCAAGACCATTGTTTATCCTCTCTTCAGATCCCAATCATTTGAATCCTCTCACCCCAGGACATTTTTTAATCGGAGCCTCGTTGATGTCACCGCCTGACAAAGATATTTCCCTGACAACCGTTAACAGGCTAAAGTTTTGGCGGCAATGCAATGCAACAGAATTTTTGGAAGCGGTGGTCAGTAGACTACGTTTTATCGTCAAGATCGTCCCTTTACCCATGACCGAACCTCCTGTCCTCCACCATGAATAATCACGTGTCCTTAACTGTACATTTGTATATAAACCCCCGCTGAAATGGCCATTGGCTCGCGCCACCAAAGTTTTTTACAGTAAAGACGGCAAAGTTCGTGCAGTCGAAGTTTATACAAAATATGGTTCTTATACCAGGCCAATTACCAAAATGATTCTGCTTCCAATTGATGACAACAAATGTGCCCCAAATTAGATACCCTATCACTCTCACTTAGTTTGTACGTTTTTAAAGTTGGATTTTAAGATAATTTACTTATCATGTTTAGATTTGTTATTGGTTATAATAATTTCTTGGATTACCTATTTCAATTCGTTTTCTTTTATTTCTTGCGCTGGGCAGTATGTTTAAAATTCACTTTTAACAAGAAACAGTAATACTCGTAAACCTGTATATAAGAGTTGCTTTGGTAACTGTCATAACGATTATTATTTTTTTGTGATAGCAGTATTATGTAAAAAAACCACACCAACACCAAAAAAGAAAGCAGCAGTTGCCCTAAACTCCCCGCTACTCATTAGTTATATTTCAAATTGTATGCTGGCCAGTGAATAAATTGATTTACCACAATCAGTCACAGTTTCAATAAAATCTAAGTTAGCACCAAAATCTTAATTGAAAAGAAACTTTAGAAATTTCCTTCTGTTGTGATTCATATATCATTTTGACACTTGCGATTACAAAAAATGTTACTTTATATGTCAAAAATAGAAAAATAGCTATTATGGTTACATTTTGGTAAAATAATTAATTTTTCTTTTTAATTTTGCAGGAATGAAGTTCCCCTTCATCATGAAATTGTGTTTCTCGTCGTCGCGTAGTATGTCCATAAAAAATGGGGACAATATGGATGCGTCTGCAGAAAAAAATGAATAATTATGCAAACACAAATAATTTAGTCCGTACATATCCTTTCCATTTGTTAAAAATAATTTTAAATTTAGTACTTACTTTATGCTAATTGATTGTTTTCATGATCGAAATTTCTCGGAATTCGGATAAATACTATAATATAAAGTGAATCAATAATTTGACCTTCTTCAGTGCTACAAATAATAAATAATAGAGCTGTAAAGTAACGTATACATCAAGAATTACCTTAAATAATTATTTTCTGTAAAGCATTACTAGATTTAGATTATTTAAAGAGCTGGTAATAATGTTTGTGATTGAGACCACCTTGTAAAAATGTGTACCTTGTTCCTTCCTGGATGGAATCTTTGGGTCGATTTTAAAAATATATGTAGTGTTCTATTTGAAAATTAGTTGGAAAATGAAAACTTAAACATTTAATACCGACCTGTTTCGAAATTTATCCTGAAAATAAATTTATTGAATAAAATTGTTTTAAGTGTTACTTTGTAGACACAATGACATGTATAAAAAAAAATTGTAATACTTAAGCTATTTTTGAAAAAAATATTCGACATTTTGTTGTTGCATATGTTTTTCTAGTAATTGTAGCACTGAAAAAAAAAATCGAATTTCTACATTAAATTTGAAAGTAATTTAATTTGCTCAGAAATTTTGATCATTAGCAACTTTGTTGGATAAGAAACTTGATTGTATTAATTTTTTTTTGTTAAAAGTTTTTGAAAAAAAAATCTCATTGACCAATATGTCATATTTTTAAAGTTATTAGTTTTTAAACATGACAAATTTTTCTTTCATGTGTAAGTTTGTGTTTTTTTTTTCAGATTTATGGTATTTTTCTTATCTTAATTAGTGACATATCGTAATTAAAGAATTATATAATAATGCAGTTGAAAATATCTGTGTGAAAAAAAAAAATAAGATTAGCGCAATTTGAAGATTTTACTTGCAACGACTAGTGTTACGGTTTTTAAATCTTAAGCTATTGATTAGATTTGTATTTCAGCAAAGCAATGATATTTTGACAAAATAACTACGTTAACTTTGTGAAAGTCCCTTAATTATTTATTTTTTAGGGTTGTCGTTATTGTTTGAGTGTTTCTTTCTAAAAAATCAACCATAATCGGTTAAGTTTTCACATCCTCTGTTTACTATTTTCATGATGACCTAAATCTAATATTTTTTAATCGATCTGTATTATGGAAAATATGGTTCATTTTGAAAGAAAATTTTTCGTTTGTAAATTTGAGGAATTTTATATGAGCGATTTTTGAAGTCAATATTTTATATGAAAAATGAATAATATCAATAGAGAATTAATCCAATACATATGTTAAGTACATATCAGTACGCCGTAGCGGTCTATTTTTGTTTCAAAATAGAAGACGTCTATTTGAAAGTAATTGGTACAAATAACCGGAATTATAAAAAATAATCCCGTCAAATTTTGGTTTTTATCGATCTATTTGTATTTATTAATCATTGTATGTAACCAGATTATAATTACTTGAAAATGCTATAGGTTTGCTGTTCTGAATCGTTAATTTACATTGTTTCAGACTCTAGGGTATCTAATACATTAACATTTTTCGAGTCAGTGGCCTTTTCAAATGTCACAGCTGCCCTTTATTTGCCTCTTGTGGTGAGCGAACACAATACAATAATAGTGAAGTAAAATCAATCCCATACAAAATGTATTTTTATCAATAGCAATCCCACATAATAGCGATTCCATCTAAAACACATCTCACATAAAATCAATCCCATGTGGAAGCAACCTTGCATAATATTAAGGCAAAATAAATCCTATCTAAAATTAGTCCCACATAAAATGAATCCCCCATAAAATCAATCCTACAAAAAAATTAGTCCCACATAACATTGTTCCCACATAAAATCGATGTCGCATCTAAAGAAAAAAAATCGGCCCACATAGAATCAATTACACATTAAGTTAGTTTTATGTGGGATAACAATAGCGGAGATTATATTATTGCGTTATTTTATGTAATTATTAAACTCCTCCCTTTTTCCAAAATAAAATTATATTTCTTCAGATGAGCATCGACATAATGTTGGTAACCTTTATTTCAGACTACATAGTTTCTCGGTTTACTTTCTCTCAAGGAAATAAATCACACTTTAGCATGCTCATGTCGACATATAGATCTTAGTTTTCTAAAATCGTCTGTCAGGTTAGAGCGAGCTCATTTGTAACACTTCCAAAATAGAAGACGTCTATTTGAATGTGATTGGTACAAATAATAGGAAATATAAAAATAGGCCTGTCAAATTTCGTTTTCATCGATCTATTTTTATTTATTATTCAGTGTATGCGATTGTCTAGTTTTACCAGACCATCGTTACTTGAAAATGCTCTAGATTTGTTTATTTTGATCTTTAATTTTCCTAATTTTAGACTCTAGAGTTTCTCAAATCGTAATTTTCACTCGAAGACTCCGAGTTTGACGATCATTCTTCGAGCTCCTGGTTTACATTAAAAGTCTTCGGGTTAGTAGCTCATTTCAACCGTCATTTATGTTTTAGGTGCCACTCATAGTGGAAGAAGACAATACAATAATAGTAAAGTTAAATCAGTCCCACATAATAATATAATTTTTTTATTGCTGTCACATAAAACCAATCCCATTTAAAACGAATCCTACATAAAAACAATCCAACATAAAATCAATCCCCCATAAAATTAATCCCGTATTAAATCATTTCCTCATAAAATCAATCACACATTAAATTAGTTTAATGTGGGATAACAATAGCGGTGAATATACTGCGTTATTTCATATTAATACTCTTCTCTATTAGTTTTCTCTGGGTAAAAGGGTAATTATCCCCTCCCTCGAGCTGCTCGAAGAAATACTGAAATTTATTAATTTGTAACTTCGAGATTTTACTAGAAAAAATAAGATGATTGCGACGGCGTAATAGTGTAATTTTCGAACATGTTTATCTTTGAAAAACCCAAACAAACTTTCTAAATAATTTACGACTCAACTCATAACTGGATAAATAACTTGTTCGCAGTGGCGGCTCGTAACCATATTGGGGGTTCACAATAACAAAATCGATCTCAGTACAGTTGTAGGTAAAACACTTTCGGTGTTTATTATAAGGTATAATATACATTTCTAAAAGACTGAAAATTTTTTACCTATAACTGTACGAGATTTATATTATGTCATTGTGAATCCCTAATATTTTGGACACGAGCCGCCATTTGTTTCCGTTATAAACCTACTTTCCTGTTACATCTTGTCTATATCCCAAACACTATTTCAGCCGCCCCTGTTTGTCCACCTTTGTTTTTAATAATATACATTCATTTCTATTTTTTCTTTAATTTTAATTCCCTTATCATATTGAATTTTGTAAACGTTTCACATCTATATGGCATAACTGACATATATTTTTGTTTTTGGAATATTGTGACATTTTCCATTTTTTTAATATTCACGATCATCATAATATATCTCTACATCCTGCGTAGATATTCAGCTACTTTGCATTCTCTTTCCATTCTTTCCGATTTCTCTAATTTAATATTTTGGCAATATTAATCCAAAATTTCTAAGAAATTTCCATTAACCTGAAACCATCAGTTAATAGTAATTATTAATAAATTAAATGTGGTCGAATAACCAAAATGAGAAGGCGTAATTTTATTTTTAATACTGTGATAATTTTTATTTACTTCTTCACATACATAAAAAAAAACTTGACCATTGTACGGGCTAATGTCTAATAAAAAAAAAACTGTGATAATGGTCGAGTTGCTGATCAAGCATTTTAGCCCTTCTGTATTAAGCATGTCAAGAGATTACGAGCGTGTTTTCACTGTGATTTTACAGACTTTTGGTTGTTTGTACAATTTTTTCAAAATAGTTGTCCTGCTTGCGATACGACCTAGACGCTTATGCCAGCATAATTTCGTCCTGTGGTAGAACTAAAAAAAAAAACATGTAACTTTAGTTGAATGTCTTCCTATCTATGCGCCTCAGTAGGACTTAAAACTCATTCTACGGATGGGGGCTCATCGTACGAACTTGCAATGAAGCACCGCCGACCGTTGTATACGTACCAGAATAATGAAATATCGAGCTTCAAGCTCTTTATAATTTTTATTTAAAACTTACTATAATATCTTAACCAAACATATCATGAATTTGAGTTTAAAACTCTTAGAAATGTACCTAAAAATATCCTTATTGAAAAAATAATGTTGGTTGTGCATCATTGTGAGTAACTGTATAATATTGATGTCAATAACAGTATATTTGTGTATTTGCCATTAAGATATTATTGCGTAACAAAAAAAACGAAGGTGGTGTTTGGTTCTGTATTGAGTTAAAAATAAAGTACTACATGGTACCGAGATCGATCAACTTATGATCTTTTTATAGATACTACTACTACTCAAGCATAAATAAAATAGAAAAGGAATTAAAAAAAGAAAATGTAAGCTTAATTTTTTATTCCTATTTTGAGTAAAAAAAAATACCTATATATGTTCACCATTTGTTTAGCAAAAATATTTTTTTAACCGGACGGTTTAATTTCATAAAAAAAAAAACCCTTTCAATCTGTCTTTTTGACTACGCAAATCTCTGGTGCCAAAATATGAATGTTTTTTGAACTATAGGGAAAAGATGATTAATTAACGAGTGTAATCAAATTTTCGAATTGAATGAGTTTTTTTTTGTAACGATTTTATGAATTAATAGTTACTAAAGAGCATAAAAAAATTGCTTCTTTAAATTATTTTATATTGTATGACAGAGTATCCTGATTACCTACCATAAAAAAGCGAAGGCTTTGAATATTTAAGTTTGATTGGTATACATTTCATTATTTTCAATAATTTTCTTAGACAGTTTCGCGGAGCTTTTGGAATCGTAATAGAGAATAAGAATTTGTTTAACAGAAGCCTAATCTTTAAACTATAAAGGAAATCTTTTAAAAATCATAACAACCATAGTAAAAAGTAA